CCATAATATTATTGGAGAGTTGAAAAACAGTTTTTTCGATTCTTTACTCATAAAATTTCACATATACATTATGGACATTCTTATAAATTAGTATATGTAGAATTATCCAATATTGAATTTGATTTCTCGTTTAAATATTTCTTTATTAATTATCTTAATTGGTTATGTATATTTAATTATTTTATTCAATTATTTATTTTAAAACCTATTCAAATAAAAATTAATATTTAATTTAATTTCTTCTTTAAATATTTCATTAATTAATTATCTTAATTGGTTATGTACATTGTTTATTTAATATTTCTTTACTTTAATTAATTATTTATTTAATCACTTATTCGAATACAAAATTAATACTAAATTTAATTTATTCTTTAAATATCTCATTAATTAATTATCTTAATTGATTACATATATTATTTATTTAATATTTAACTAGAACATAAATCACATGATGCATGAGAATATCTAACAGAGATGGAAATCGAATATTAGGCACGATTACATTTTCAAGACATTGAACATTATTCAATAATGCCGAAAATATATTTCTTCTACTAAATGAAGTCGAGTGGGAAGTTCTCAATTATAGTATGTTACTCTCTATCCAACGGATGTGTAATATCTATTTAAATCGTATGTACTCTCTATTTATAGTATATTTTTTGTTTCCCCAATTTTCTCTATTTATAGTATGTTATTGATTACATGAAAATTGACCCGACGAATATGTAATATCTACTTAAATTGTATGTACTCTCTATTTATAATATGTCACTGATTTCCTCAATTTTCTTTATTTATAATGTGTTATATATGTAATTAAGAGTAATTGGTTATTTATTTTCCAATTACATAAAAACTAAAGCATTATAAATGTTTTAAAAAAATGCTTATATTTTAAATTATTACAACTACGGATCACAATGTACATAAAAAAAAAAAGCTTACATTTTTAACGTGTGTTTGGTTTATCAGCTCTACGTCACGTCTGATGCTAAAAATTCAATATACTTCAATTTGATCCGAATCTGATCTGAATCCGACGAAATTAATGGGAGATGTATTTAGGTTTTAATCCGATAATCCAATCGAGATTCAAATCCGATAATCCGTTAACTAAATAAATTAAATATGGATATAAATCGATCCGATCCGATATCACTAAAATATTCCAAAAGGAGTCTCCTTTAGAAATGAGTTAAAGGAGCATCATTTAGATAATATATATATATATGATTTGGGCCTTCTAATATAATAAGTGAGCCCATCAAGATAGTTTAAATATTTTTTAAAATAAATAAATAATTAAAATCTTGTTGGGGCTATGATTTTCAATAAAAAAATAAATAAAATCTTTATTTTTCTAATTTTTTTCAATTTCGGATCTAATATCTGATAACATAGTTAATCGGATATGAATTTAACATTCAAATATCCGTTGGATTATTAAATTGGATCAAATAGGATAATTATTCTTAACAGATCGAATCGGATTTGAGCAGATCCGATCCATATATCTGATCCATTTATAGCCCTAACTTCAATGTGAAGATTTCACAATCGCCCTTTGTCGAATTCACGGAAGAGGTTGGGCAACATACCGTCGACGGATGTTCTCTTCTTTACCTCGATCGTGTACGGAGAAACAATGTATTATGACACCAATCTAGTTCTTTTGCTAACCATTTGTTTTGGCACGTCAGTAACATATTGCTTACAGAATGTCACTTTTATTGTCTTCTCCGACATAATTATCACATTATCCAAACTCGCGACATTATCTGTCAAGTTGGAAGGTCATTTCCGACATAGTTATGTATATTATTTATTTAATATTTAATTACTTTGTTTAATTATTTATTTAATCACTTAATTAAATAAAAAATTAATATTTAATTTAATTTCTTCTTTTGATATTTTATGTATGTAATATTTAATTACTTTATCTAAATAAATTTTACAATATATACAATTATTTCATAAATAAAAAAATAGCTGTCGTCTGGAAAAGACGGCCCAATAGATGGTCTGGGCCGTTTGTTTAAAAGACGGCTGGGCGGATGGTAAACATACGGCCCAGACGTCTGGGCAGTCAAACAAACGACCCAATCGTCTAGCCCTCTCCTCCCTTTCTTCTCCGATCCAGGTGCTTTGATCGCCATTTTGACCCAAAAATACCTCAAAAAATATTATTTCCAATAATTTTACATAATTTACAAAAATTTCTATCATTATTTTCAACAAGATTTCTCCTCCTCCTTTTTCAGACGCCGTTTTAAGAGTGATTTGTTAGGAACAATATTGAGTTTTCATTGTTTTTAAAGTTTTTACAGATTTTTCAAATTTTTTTTTTAAAAAGCAGTAGTCAACGGCCATTTTGAAAAAATGTCTTTTTTTGGTGGCTATTTGCCACCATTTCCTCGCAATTCCCTTTATATAGGGAAAAATTGTACAAGGTAGTTACAAGTGTCATGTTAACAACACGTATATGATTTTTATTTATTTATTTATTTATTTTTTCTCCCGGCCAAGTGTCCCAATGAAAAAATGCAATCGCCCCCAATATTTCCCCAGTAAAAATTTTCCTTGTACACCAAAATGTAATTAACATTTGATGATTTATTTAGTTAGCAAAAAATGGATAACTGCAGAGTATTAAACCAATAAATGAGTCACAATCCTCCAAATTGGAAAAATCCAGAATTTGATGAGAATTTGAATTATTTTAAAAAAGTGCATAAAGTTAACTTAATTGTGACCTATATTTTTATTGTTGTATAAAGGAATCACAGTCGTTACGCAATGCGTTTCCGTAATTAAAAGTAGGAAAATAAATTAGTACCAGTTAACATCATAAGTGATGAATAAGGAAAAAAAAATGCACTACAAATTTCATCATATTAATAATCAATAGTTTACATTGTGCTTATTTATAATTAACTCTTTGGAAAAAAAATAAAAATAAAAATTAACAAGGTTAGAAAGTTTTTAATTTTAATCTAATTATTATGAAAAAAGAAATTAATCATACACCAAAAAACTAATCAAAATAAATTTCTTTCTTTTTTTGCTTTAAAAAGAAAATAAGATAAGTATACAATTTTGAAATGTTTACACTACCATGCTTCATCCTATCAAGTCTGCAGCCCGCTCTGTAGTTAAGTAACCTACATTTTGCAACGTTTTAATATGCTAACATATCTACTGTAATAAACAAACTTTTAACTTCTTTTCATGCATAAAAAATCTTCACGTATTGTCTTGTCTTGTTTACCAAACGAAAATAACTGACACAAGAAACAATTAAAAGCGAATCACTAACGAGACATCAATTTACCTTTATAATTCACTGCACGTAGGAAAGTTACCACACCCACAGCAGGATATACACAAGTACAGGAATGGGCTATCAATTTTTTCGAAAATAGAATCAAAAAAATTCAGGCACCTGGGTCATACTGCTGTTTTCTAATAATCAGGCAGGCTTTATTTAGTTGAAGTTTTAGTAGCTTCACCATGACACACCTCAAAACAAAACATGCAAACTAGAAAACGATCAAACCACTGACAACAAGAGTACAGAATTCCTTGACAAAGCATAACAGTAACCATGACTTATTTTCTTGCATTATGATGTGTAGATTCCTCCAGAGAACTAAATGGTTATCATCCACGACCATGCTTAAAAGAGATCTGGTTGGCTGACAATGTAAAGTGAAGTCCTATTACCAGAGAATCTGAATACAGTATGAAAAGATCTTTGTATAAAGGAATCACAGTCGTTACGCAATGCGTTTCCGTAATTAAAAGTAGGAAAATAAATTAGTACCAGTTAACATCATAAGTGATGAATAAGGAAAAAAAAATGCACTACAAATTTCATCATATTAATAATCAATAGTTTACATTGTGCTTATTTATAATTAACTCTTTGGAAAAAAAATAAAAATAAAAATTAACAAGGTTAGAAAGTTTTTAATTTTAATCTAATTATTATGAAAAAAGAAATTAATCATACACCAAAAAACTAATCAAAATAAATTTCTTTCTTTTTTTGCTTTAAAAAGAAAATAAGATAAGTATACAATTTTGAAATGTTTACACTACCATGCTTCATCCTATCAAGTCTGCAGCCCGCTCTGTAGTTAAGTAACCTACATTTTGCAACGTTTTAATATGCTAACATATCTACTGTAATAAACAAACTTTTAACTTCTTTTCATGCATAAAAAATCTTCACGTATTGTCTTGTCTTGTTTACCAAACGAAAATAACTGACACAAGAAACAATTAAAAGCGAATCACTAACGAGACATCAATTTACCTTTATAATTCACTGCACGTAGGAAAGTTACCACACCCACAGCAGGATATACACAAGTACAGGAATGGGCTATCAATTTTTTCGAAAATAGAATCAAAAAAATTCAGGCACCTGGGTCATACTGCTGTTTTCTAATAATCAGGCAGGCTTTATTTAGTTGAAGTTTTAGTAGCTTCACCATGACACACCTCAAAACAAAACATGCAAACTAGAAAACGATCAAACCACTGACAACAAGAGTACAGAATTCCTTGACAAAGCATAACAGTAACCATGACTTATTTTCTTGCATTATGATGTGTAGATTCCTCCAGAGAACTAAATGGTTATCATCCACGACCATGCTTAAAAGAGATCTGGTTGGCTGACAATGTAAAGTGAAGTCCTATTACCAGAGAATCTGAATACAGTATGAAAAGATCTGAGGGAAGCTTTATTCTTCAGTAGGAGGCTTTCATTTTTTTTTCACTTTCTCGTCTGTAACTTCAGTGTTTGATGCATTCTCAGAAGTTTCTAAGCACAGGCTGTTTTTGGAATGATCCCTTTCAGAGAATATGCCAAGAGATTTTGATCCATGGGGAGAAGTGATTTGCATTTTGTCAGAGCTTTCAAGAAAGTACCTCGTTAACGAAGTTGCCTTCCTTTCATATGGGAGCTTGGCAGATACAGGCAATAGTGCCTCGGCAGGTTTTCCTGAGAAGTCCAGAGGCCTATGGAAAAGCAAATGAGCGACGGTACGATCTATGGGATTTGTCCCAGTTTCTGCATCAGGCATTCTTGTAAACCTGTAAAAGCAATGAAGGAATAAGAAACACGCTTCCTTAATAAAATTATATAAATTTATTCTGCAACGTCAACTTCAAGAAACAAAAAGGTTCAGAATCAGTAAATTATTATCAAGCACAGGCTGCCAAGTCTTGAAACTTGCTGATTATTAATTTGGAATTAACCCATGTAATGAGTGCTGTCATACTGCGCTTCTATTGACAAATAAAGCAAGCATAAATAATTTACACATGAAAGCCCCTAATCTAGCTTTCAGCGCATTGCTAAAGGCCTGTTTCTCAGTGTGGAGGCCAACATCTAGTTCTTCAATGGAAAGGGGGAAATAGCCCTTCCACAGCTGCTCCTACAAAGCTCTCTTTTCCCTCAGCTCCCTTCCGTCTGAGCCTACACATTCGACATCACATTTATATTTTGCTTCTGACTTGAACCCAAGTTCAAGTCATAATATCTGAATTTTGGCATCCAAGAGAAAACTATTTCCTTAAACAAGTAAAAAATGGCTCATTTTCTTCAAAAATTAGTAAATTTCTTCATTTTAATGGGCAACATCATGAAATTCCCATTCATAGAGGCAGAGATTCAGATGACAGAAATACCCAAGAGATGCAGTTATCATCTCACAACACTAGCCCCTACGGCAAGAAGTTCCACTGTGCAAGGATTTTACGCATTAAATGAAGAAAAATAAAGATTAGTCGTCTTATTTTAATGGTTTGATCAGCTAAAGCAGGTTCTCTACCTTAAGCATCTTCAAACAAATATTCAGATGACAGTTTGATTGTTATTTTTCATACTAAATGAAAACTTGCTACTGCAGACCAGAATCATAAGTATGATGGTCTCGGAGCACATTCAAAGTTCTGAAACTTTCAGCATATCTACGCTTCCTCTTGATTCTTTTATATTCAGTAATACCAAAATCATTCACTGCCAAATCTGCAAGTCTATCGGTTTCACTGAAGGTAGTCAACTACCTCATATATTTTTAGTTTTATATTCAATATTCACCCTCAAATAAAATAAGTCAGCGTTTAGGGGTCAAATATGTTAACTTCATACAGAAGAATCAAAGATGAGTAAAAACTACAAGTTTAAGGTTGCATGCAATACCTAGTTCTAATAGACTTATGTTTCATGGCTGTTCCATTTATCACTTTATTGTGAAATACTAGATCGGACCGTCTGCCATAAGTACCTCCATATTCTGCCAAGTATGATTGGAGAACGGGTTTGAATCAGTGCTTGAAAAACTTTCTTTTCTCAATCTTGATTTGCATAGAAATTCTGGAACTACGGGCCTAGTTGAACTGAAGGACTCCAAATTCCTTCCAATATTATAGAATTCTTAGCTTAGTTCGGTACCCTATGAATAGGCCAAAGAAAACCCCTGTACGGCTTCTTCGATTTCTCGATAAAGAGAAATATGACCAAGAGTAGTTCAGATGCATATAAAGATAATTTCTTTTTAATAGTTCTTACTATTAGATAGTGTCCATACATATCATAACAAGTATCTAAAGATTCATAGTGAACTTCGATGGGACATTCGCTTTAAGTAATAATGCGTTGATCTAGTCGCCACCAAAGCCACAAAGGACAATCTAAATTGATTCGTTTCTACCAATAAGCTCCAATTGCATTATAGGAATTAGAGGGGGGAAAAAAATGGTTTAGTATACTTATAGTCATTATTGTTACTTCTTTGATTTAGTTTTTGTGATTCTACGGATTATACATATTTAAACAAATACCTCGATGGCTCCCACTCGTTGATGCATAGAATCCACCAATAAGCATATCTTAAGCTAGTATGGAAATGGGATCCCCAATAGCTAGAGAGAAAAGATTCATATGAGAAAACATAAGTAAATAGGCCTTCACTTGAGCCTCCAAAGATAAATGTACATAAATAGCCATTTAATCCCCATCAAAATTTGTATTGAATCCTTTACAAACTAATAGATGTAAACCAATAGCATGCTTGTCCACTAAAATGGACTACAACGTCTATATGCCTAATCTATACAGAGTAGGTGATCTATTCAGCAATACAAGATGCCTTTGCATAACTTCCTTGCAGTCTATATGCCTAATCTATACAGAGTAGGTGATCTATTCAGCAATATAAGATGCCTTTGCATAACTTCCTGAAGTATTTCCAATATAATCGGTTCTTTTTCCCAAATTTTACTCTTATCAACTTCTATGTTCAAAGCAAGATGTTGTCTAATTAGACCACGAATTAAAAATGTTCCAAAAAATTCTATTGCTATTTCGCGTGGCAATCCACACGATGTAATAAAAGTGAAGGACCCACAATAATGACGGAACAACTTGAATAATCAATCCGTTTCCCCAGCAGAATCCCACAAAATCTTCCTTCTTTGCCTTCAAGTCCATTTGAAAATGACTTGTAAACTTTATTATGAAAATTACTCGTTCGTTGTCCATGGATTCCATTACCAAGAAATGTATTTACGACTTCTTGTATTAATTTCTCCTGACACATTACTAACTCTCTTGGCGTGGATCTAATTGTCAATAGATCGATGAGTATTGTTTTGATAGATAACTCTTCTATAGAGTTCATTAATATCCGAGCTCATTAGTTTACCCCCATCTATCTGAATGATGGGGTCTCAACTCAGGAGGGAGAATCGGTAATAAACACAACCATCCATTCTGGTTTTATATTTGTTCGAATAAAATGCTTAGCCAATTCCATGCATCTAACTAAAAAAATTCTTTCTTCTTCCAACCCTTTGATCTTCCCATTCATTTCTTGTTGGTCCTTCTTCCCCTAATTCTTTCCATTCTACCAACAAATATTCTAGAATAATTCATAAATCTAGATCAGTTAATTGTTCTCAAATAGCACCTACACCTACAGAGATTTCTCGATTACGAAATGTATCAAAGCCTTGGGTAGTAAAAAACAACGAGATGTTGTATTTCTAAGATTGAATTTCAAATTCCAATAAACCTCATAATCGTAAGAAAGCGGTATTTTTAGTTATGGGCCTAAGAGAAGAAAATTGGGATAAAATCCCACAGGATCTCCTCCTTCAAAATTGGATGTGAAAGTTTCTTTTCATCCAGCTCAAGTAGGTACACCAAATAAAGAAAGGAGTTCTCACTTGCAAACTCTAGAAAACCTCAAACAAAAAGATCTACTCCTTACTCTTGTTCCCATAAAGACAAAGCAAGATTTCATTGATTCCACCTTCATTTTATTTAGATTTTCTTAATATGTTATTCAATTACGACATTAGACATAAATGACCACTTGTAGGTGAGTTCACAAAAAATAAAACTAAACAGAAAAGAAACACAACAGAGATCAATTGTAAATGACATTTTTTGTCAATGCGTTAAAAACACACACCCACCCACCGACTCACACATATATATATAAATTGATTCACTGAGAAGTGCAATCCTCATATATACTCACTGATTATCCTATTTATGTTTTTAAAACAAATCCATTTTTTAGTTTAACTGCATACTCGATTTCTACATTTGCTTATGGTTCAGAGAATATGAATAAAAGAGGGGTCATGATTGTCATTAAATTTGGTGCATGACATGCAGTACCATCTCTCTCTACATCCTCAGTTTTGTCGACTTGAGTTATAGCAAACATATCAAAATATACACTTCAAAGGAACTGCAAAAATGTAGCTTTCAAGGTCCATATTTGTTGAAATCTCGAGATGATCTGACTAAGATTAGGAATAATTGGAGTTGGTTTATTTTTAGAGATGATTTATTTTTCTTTTCATAGTTGAAATATTGTAATTAATCTTCTAGATTGTAGGATTATTATTTTCCTTTTATTCTTTCCTTTCTTGTACTATAAGTAGATGTCGTGGGCTGTGAATCAAGATGAAGAAATATACAGTTTTTTCTCTTCATGGTATCAGAGCCATGAAATTGTCCTAATCATGTCAGAAGCCACCGCCAACAGTAGAGGATCCACAACTTCTGACTCTTTCAATGGCGAATCTGAAACTGCTTCTGCCTTAAACTCAGGAGAAAATTCATCCTTCCAACTAACAGTTGAAAAACTGAATGGGAAGAATTTTCGTGAATAGGTTTAGTCAATCAAACTAATAATTGATGGAAAAGGGAAATTGGGTTTTCTCACCGGTGAAATGATAAAGCCAACCTCAACCAACACCGCCCTTTTTAAAAAATGGAGGTCAGAAAATTCTATGGTGACTGCTTGGTTAGTCAACTCGATGAAACCATCCATTGGAGAGACCTATCTTTTCCTACCAACGTCAAAGGACGTGTGGGATGCAGTAAAAGAGACATACTCATATTCTGAAAATTCGTCCTAAATCTTTGAAATCAAAATCAAACTTTTGCAAACACGACAAGGGGAACAAGATGTCACCAAATACTACCTTGAGATGACAACTTTGTGGCAAGAACTTGACTTGTGCTCTGAAGAGGAGTGGGAATGTTCAGGAGACAGCACGCGGTTCAAGAAAAAACTAGAGGAAAACGAGCGGGTGTTCGAGTTTTTGGCAGACTGAATCAAGATCTTGACGACATTAGGGGCTCGGTTGAAAGCCTTTGTCGTCGATGAGGGAAGTATTTGCAGAGGTTCGACATGAAGAAAACCGACGGAAAATCATGCTGGAAGCTGCCGGTGGTGCGTTGGACTCAACTGGAATCGGGACAGAGAGCTCAACCTTAGCGTCAAAATTGATTGGGTCTTCTAGTCTTGGGCCATTAAATAATGGGCTTAGATTCAAAGAGAGTGGGCTTCAAAATTTTAATGAATTGGGTAAAAATTCCAGAGGTGGGCCTGAAATCATGGCCTCTATTCAAAAGGAGCAGCAAATGGGCTTGACCCAAGACAACAAAAAGACGACCCTGGTGTGAACATTGCCGTAAACCGGGACATAAAGAAGACGTGCTGGGATTTGCACAAAAAATCGGTAAATTGGAAATCAAAACAAAACAAAAGCCATGGAAATCAATCAGAAAAATCCAAGGAGTCGAGTAGCACTTTCAATTCTGAAAAGATGGAGCAACTCTACAAATTGTTATACAGTTTTCACCCACCAAGTCAAACCTCCACAAATAATCTGTCAAGCTCACTGGCTCATAGAGGTAGTTTCTTGAGAACCTTAAAATCCATCACAGTCTAATACACCCTGGATCATTCTGGAGCTTTTGATCCCATGATTGATTCCTACCACATATTTTCTTCATATTCCACATGTGCAGGTAATCTCAAAATTAAAATTACAGATGGTTCCCTATCGACGATAGCAGGAAAAGGGAATATTAAAATTTCTGATTTTATATCTTTACAATCAGTTCTTCATGTCCCAAATTTATCATGCAATTTGCTATCTATAAGCCAGCTAACAAAACTTTCAATTGCTCTACTAATTTTTTTTCATCTCATTGTGTTTTTCAGGACCTATTATCGGGGAAGACAATTGACAGTACTAAGGAAAGTGAATGACTCTACTACTTTGAACAAGCTGACGTGAGTAAACAGTGTCAAGTTAAAATTTGTGATTCTGTGTCTGTCCTTAGAGATACTGAAATTATGTTATGGCATTTTAGAATGGGACATCCTAACATTCAATACACGAAAGGTGTACTCCCTTCTATTTTTTAGAATAAAAAGTCGGCTCATTTTCAATGTGAAGTCTGTGAACTTGCGAAACATCAGCGCACATCTTTCCCAATATCTATATACAAACCATCTAGACCTTTCACCATTTCATAGAGATGTATGGGGCCCTTCACGAGTCCCAAATCATCCACATAAAGTGTTTTGTTACATTTATTGACGATCACACTCGAATCTATTGGGTCTACTTACTAAAAGAAAAATCCGATGTCCGTACCGTGTTTATAAACTTCCATTCCATGATTCAAAACCAATTTCAAACACAAATTCAAATTTTACATACCGATAATGGCACTGAATACTTCAATCACATCCTGGGAGACTTTCTCCAAACACGTGGGATAATTCATCAAAGTTCTTGTGTCGATACTCCCTAACAAAATGGGATTGCCGAACGTAAAAATACACATCTCCTAGAGGTTGTTCGAGCTTTAATGTTTACAACAAATATGTCTAAGCTATTCTGGGGAGATACCATCCTCACATCTACCTATCTAATCAACCGGATGCCTAGTCGTGCTCTAAATTTCAAAACACCTCTCCAAAAATTTCAGAATTACTTCCCAACTTCTCTTCTCACTTTTGATCTAACCCTAAGAGTATTTGGGTGCAATGCATTCCTTCATGTTCACTCTCAACACAAAAGCAAACTTGAACCTTGAGCCATTAAATGTGTTTTGATTGGGTACTCTCCTACGCAACAGGGTTACAAATGCTATGACCCTTCCATGAAAAAATCTTCGTAAGCCTTGCCGTCACTTTCTTCGAAAACACTCCATACTTTGAGAACCTCTCTTCAGGAAGAGACCTTACATGAAGATCGATTCTTTGATCTCAGTCTCAGTCTCTCCCATTCTGAACCTCTCCTACCTACTATACCGTCCGATTCTAGTATGCCATTAACAAAAGGAAATTTGAATCGAGGAGGAGATGTAGAAAAACAACAGGATAAGGAGATACTAGTTTATTCAAGAAAGCCAAAGTCAAAGTACAGGAAGAATCTCACTACTAAAGCACCAAAAGAGTCAGAACCTATGATAACTCCAGATTCTTAAAAAATAGTGGAGACACCTGAGCCTAACCTACCTATCACTCTAAGGAAACAAACAAGGTCATGTACTCTACATCCTATTTCGAAATTCATGTTCTTTAATACTTTGTCTACAGGATTTCGTTCATCTACAACTCAGCTAGACAATACAATTATTCCAAGAACTATCCAGGAAGCCTTGGAGATTCCAAATTGGAGAGAAGCAATATTGGAAGAAATGAAAGCGTTGGAGAAAAATGAAACTTGGTTAGCGATGGACTTACCAAAAGGGAAGTAACCCGTTGGTTGCAAGTGGGTTTTCAATGTGAAATACAAAGCTGATGGGGCAATAGAACGGTATAAAGCTCGATTGGATGCAAAAGGCTATACACAAACTTATGGAATTGACTGTACAGAAACATTTGCACCAGTGATAAAGTTGAATAGAGTTCGAGTTCTTCTATCACTAGCAGTAAATTTGGCTTGGCCCCTGCAGCAACTGAATATTAAAAATGCATTCTTGAATGGAAAATTACAGAAAGAAGTATTTATGACATTACCATTAGGCTTTTGTAACGTAAATGAAGAAAAACGGGTGTGCAAACTAAAAAAGTCTTTATATAGGCTCAAATTTGTGAAAGTTTTGAAAAATCAAGGATATTGTCAAGGACAATCAAATCACACTATGATCCTTCGACTATCTGAAGATGGCACTAAAACAATTCTACTTTTATATGTGGATGATATTATTTTGACAGTAGCCAATACAATAGAGATTGAAAGGTTAAAAAAGAGTTTTGCTACTGAATTTGAAGTAAAAGATTTGGAACCAATGCGATATTTTCTAGGAATGGAAGTTGTTAGATCAAGACAAGGCATCAGTATGTCACAACGAAAATATGTTATTTATCCAAAACTGGCATGCTAGGATGTAAACTAAGTGACACACCGCTTGATGTGGGAAATAAAACTGAAGATGGAGGTAATTCGGTAGAAATCGATAGATATTAAAGACTGGTTGGAAAATTAATTTACCTGTCACACACCAGACCTGACATCGCATTTACAGTCAGTCTAGTAAGCCAACATATGCATGCTCCAAAAGAAAATCATCTAGAAGCTGTCTATAAGATACTTAGACACCTCAAGGGCTACTCGGGAAGGGGACTACTCTTCAAAAAGGGTGAAAGAAAAGACGTTGAGATTTTCACAGATGCAGATTGGGTAGAATCGATTGATGACAGGAGGTCTACTACGGTTACTGTACTTTTGTATGGGGAAATCTAGTAACTTGAAGAAGCGAGAAACAGAATGTAGTAGCCGGAAGTAGTGCTGAAATTGAGTTCAGAGCTGTTGGCAAAGGAATGTGTGAAGGACTGTGGTTGAAGAAACTTTTGGAAGAATTACACGTGACAATGAAGTTGTCAATAACGCAGCGATTAACATTTTCCCTAACCCAATTCAACATGATCAAACTAAACATGTAGAGGTAGATAGACACTTTATTAAAGAAAAAGTCGAGGAGGGAACTATCTTTATGACCTATGTTCCTACACAAGCACAAGCTGTAGATATCTTCACCAAAGGACAACCCAAACAAAGATTCGATGATTTCATCTTCAAGTTAGATATGATCAATATCTATGATCCAACTTGAGGGGGAGTGTTGAAATCTCGAGATGATCGGACCAAGATTAAGAATAATTGGAGTTAGTTTATTTTTAGAGATGATTTTTTTTCTTTCCATAGTTGAAATATTGTAATTAATCTTCTAGATTGTAGGATTATTTTTTCCTGTTATTCTTTCATTTGTTGTACTATAAGTAGATGTCGTGGGTTGTAAATCAAGATGAAGAAATATACAGTTTTTTCTCTTTAATATTCTACTATATGATACAATACCCAGCATGATTAACCAGTGAATTAGATAGACAGAATTTTATAGTTTCAATTGTTTTTCAAGGCATAACTTGATGCATTCATCTAACAAGAGTACTGAAATTCAAATATGCTAGATAATAAGAGTAGAAATATCAGATTTCCTCATGTCAGCAACCAGAAAGAATTCACAGCAGTTGATATTATAAATTGTTTAGCAAACCAATTACAAAGTGAGCAACTTCAAAGAAATAAATTATTTTCACTCACAACAGGTGAGTGTGTAAGACAAGCGAGGGAGGTAGACAATTGTAAATCAAGCAGTGGTAATTTGTTGAGACATTGTCATCAACCATTACAGAAATCAGGATATATCATGGACAGGTAGCTAGGAAAATTCAACAGGTTGGAAACATACAATCTTCGGCACAAACTTTTCAGTTCACTGTTTACATGCTTAAATATTTCAGTAGTTTATATTTATGGAGCTGATACCTTATGGTAGTGAGGTATATGAAAAAAAATATGGCTCTCCTCAATTTTTAGATGTATACTATAAATGGCATACTAACCTGTCAGAATTATTTCCTTCGTTTTTGCTGAGAACATCATCCTTACTGCTTGGGTTGGAACTGCTTGCATCACTAGAATATTGCCTTTGTTTAGCACTTTGAGCTAGCCGATATAAGCTATCCCGGATACAAAGTCTTAAATGGATGTCCAACTGCCAAGAATTTAATTATTGGATATGAATAGTTCTAACTGCATTAACAATTTTGTGTCAGGAAAATATTCTACAAGCAAATACGTAACTAACTTTGTCAATGGTTTCTTGAAGCCGGTGAAGTATTGAGCCCTCCGCTGAACAGTCATCGATGACAGCATTATTGACACTAGAATTATCCTGTTCTATGGGCGAGTTTGGATCAAGTGAAGCAAAGCTGGTAACATTGTCATTGACTTCAACGTTCCCTCCTCCCATGGTAGAATTTTTGATTATTGAAACCTGATTATCAAATTTCTGCTGCTGCTTCTGAATTGCAATTATTGCTCTCATTTGCTGCCGCCTCCTCAACTTCTCAATTTTTTCCCGAGGTGTCATTGATGGAGGTTTCAATGCAGCATTCACTGAGTTTTTTAAAGAATTTGTATTAGGAGAAACTTCATAGCCAGAGCACAATGGGTTATAATTTCCTTCCCCTGGATGAAATCGAGGCAAGACGGATAAGGTTGGACACTGATTCACCATATTGCCATACATCGGAGAAGCCAAACGTGGACCAGAGGAATGTTTGTGCTTCAAAGGTTCTGGCCTTTGAAGCTGACTAGGTAACAAAGCCTGATGTTGGTTGACCATTGATTGTGGATACTGCATGTTGAATTGTTGTAATGGCTTCCCAGATGAAGACCATGTACCGCACAAATCACGAAGCTGTCTGACTTTACTCTTCTCCTCCAAATGTCGACCCTTCAACACTCTCTTTTTCCTATGACCCTGAACACATTGAAATCAGTCAGGGCATCACTTTGATATTCGAAATAAGAAAAGTGGAAGATACAAATAATGTACCAAGATCTACGACCAAAAAAGGGAGAGGGAAGAGCCATCCGGTTATGAGACTTTATTATGAAGTTTTTTATCTTGTAACTTGTAAGAATTAGTTAGGTTGAGATGGTGTAAAAAGATTTTAACCATTGTTTTATTACTGTTCAATATAGTCATATCAGCCAATTTTTTAAGTCCCACTTGATAAAAGTGAACATATATTGCCTATGATGCAACATCTACACATTAGTCCACCTAAAGAATAACGAAATGAAAAGCTTGACCAGTAGAATTTACCGTGGAGAAAATGGTAGTTATATTTTTCACTATTTCTTCTGCTTCCACAGGGAAAGAGCAAATCAAGGTTCAGTAACACTTGAATATATAACAATTATGTCACTTTGTGACGTATTGACAACACATACACAAATGCACACACAATATATATACATATTAATGAAAACAGATATTGAGGAATAATATTTTGATTTTATTGAATAAATACAACACTGTGTACAAAGAATACATGAATGTAGAGAACTTGGGTTCTGTAGAAGAATTCTAACCAAAATAGGAAATTGAAGATGGCTATCATTGATACGAGCTAATCAAATCATAGCTGGCAACTCTCCTCAATACAAGGATTACACTTAAGTAGCGTGTACTTTCTATCTGAAACTGCAATTCACTTACTAAACCAAGCCACCTTCATCAGTAGAAAGTATCTCGAAGCTCTTTTCCTTTATTGCAAATTCCATAATGAGTAGTTTCTCAAGTTCTCTTATTTATACTTCAGTATTTCAAGTCAAGATAATGCCATCCACATATATTATAAGAACAATGAGCTTATTCAGATAAGGTGTATAACATAGTGTTATCAACTTGACTTTATGATTATATTAAGCTTTGGATTTGGAATACATATCAATCCATGCCTTCGGTGACAATTCAGGCCATATAAGATCTTTAAGTTGCAACATTTCTTTTCCTCAAACCTTAGTTTTCATGCATACACCCTCTCAACCTTGCTGAGGAATGCTTTCTCAATACCAAGTGTGTGCAGAGACAATTCTAAATTGGTTGCAAGAACTCTAATCATGCCCATTTTGGTAGCTTATACCACTGGTAAGAGTATACTCTTTTCACAATGAGTCTTTCGGCAGATCATTCAACCAACCTTGCATTTAAAAACAAATACCATTTCTAGTCCACAGGTATTCCACCTACATTATCAGAATAGTGAGCTTACTCTAATTGAGTGTCTGTAACATAGTATGACAAACTTAGCTTTTACAATATTTGAAATTCCAAATTGGATTTGGAACATAAATTATATACTTTAGAGCCATAACAATACTTTTGTCAAATTTTTTTCCTTGAAGTTTCTCAAAAACCTATTTTTAGTTGCATGCATACATCCTCCTCAAGATCTTCAGTGAGGAATGCATTCTCAACACTGGATTAGAGAGACTATTCCAAGTTGGCTATAAGAACACTAACTGCGTCCATAAGTGGGTCCTCTAGCAATGTCTGTCCATATATCTATTAAGTATCAACCATTTGACTTGCCTTGTATATAAAATCATATACCATTTGTAGCCCACATGAGTCTTACCTCTTGGTAGGTCTCAATTTGCAAGTGCCAGGTTTTCTAGTTGCCTAATCTCTTCTAGGACTGCATCTATTCATGTGAGAATTTTTAGGGCTTCCTGCACAGATTTTAGAATTTCTAGACTTACTAGGTTCTAAAGGCTCTATACGAAGAGACACAATGCAGAGTGCACAACGTAATTTGTTTACTAAGAGCAATAGATAGATCGTGATCATTTTAACATTCAGGAATGGATATGCTATTAGGATCAACAAGAGTTGTTTTTCCTTCGTTAACATTCAAATATAGTCATCGCTTGCAGGATGGGATGAAACATGTTTTGTGCCTTTTCATTAGGTCGCTTGGAACCTATAAAAAAGTGCATAGGGTTGGGATCCTCTATAGTATGTCTTTCAATCATAGGTAATGCATCAAATAGTATGTCTTTCAAACATGTTATATAGGCAATGAAAAAGACATCTCATTTTGAACAATAGGCACAAAGAGTTTTTCCGATTAATCTTCGATAGAACTCTATCCGTGAATAGAAGTTTGAGAGAGTAGATGTCTTAAGATGGTGAAAATTAATTTCTTCCATATGAGATAATACGAAATAACAAGATAACAGAAGGAAAAGAAGTACAAAGCTCTATTGCAGAGCCGAATTTATCGTTCTGACAGGAGAGAATGTAGAGACTGAAAAACTAAAGAAATGTCTTGCCATCGAATTCGAGGTGAAAGATCTGGGATAAATACGATACTTCTTGGGAATGGAGGTGGCAAGATAAAAAATGGAATCAATTTTTCACATCGTAAATATGTTATTGATCTCTTAACCGAAACCAGCATGCTAGGTTGCAAGCAAGTGATACACCTATTAAATCGGAAAAAAGACATGAAGATGTTGGAAATCAAGTGGAAATAGATAGATACCAAAGACTAGTTGAAAAATTAATCTGCTTGACACACACTAAACCTGATATTGCATTCGCATAGAGACGTGTAAGTTAACAAATGCACTCTCCAAAGGACAGTAAACCAGAAGCAGCCTACAAGATACTAAAATACCTCAAGGGATTCCCTAGAAAATGACTATTTTTCAAGACGAGTGAAAGGAAGAAGGTTGAAATTTTCACAGATGCAAATTGAGCAGGTTCAATAGAAGACAGAAGATCAAGTAATGGTTATTGTACCCATGTGTGGGGAAATCTCGTAACTTAGAGAAGTAAGAAACAAAATGTAGTTGCCAGAGACAATGTTGAGGCCAAGTTCAAAGCTGTAGCATAAGGAATATGAGGACTGTGGCTGAGAAAGCTTCTAGAAGAATTGCATGTTAAAGTAAAGTTTCCTATCAAAACCTATTATGATATAAGGCAACGATCAATATCTTACTTAATCCAATCCAACATGATCACACCAAGTATAGGGAAGTTGATAGCACTTCATAAAAGAAAAGGTTGAGCAAGGGACCATTTGCATGAATCATGTTCCTATACAAGAGCAAGTTGCTAATATTTTTACCAAGGGACTACCCGACCAAGCTTCAAATGATTTCATATGCAAGTTGAACATGATTACCATTTATGATCCAACCTGTGGGGGAGTGTAAAAACCCAAATCATATCAAATAAGGATGGGAGCCGAATTGATTGGAGAATATCTCCATTCCATAATTATTGTAGTGTAAAATATGCATTGATTGCTTATTAGTTTTAGGATATTAGAATTTTCCTTATTTATATTGTACATGTGGCTCATATAGAGTGAAAACAGGTCCTAGATCAAATAGGTCGATGCCCCTGCGGTACGGTACAAGGGTATTTCTTGTACGGGCCTTAAAGTCTTATATGGGCCCAGGCTAGGGTTAATATAAATAATATGTTGTAACCCTATTTTTTACTACTGAATAAACATTATCTCTGCTTCGCTCTCGTAGACATAGGCACACCGTCAAACCACGTAAATTCTTGTGTTGATTTTCTTTTTCATCTCTTTATTATTGCGCATAAAATCCAACAATTTACAACTTCATGTGTATTATAAATTTTATCCCATTCCATTGTATGATTATTGGACATAAATTACAATCAATCTTTCTTCATACATACTTCCATATCTTGAATTTCTTACACCCTTTTAACTAGTGGAACTTGATAGCAAGAAGAAAAAAATTTTAATCGCCAAATGTAAAGCTTTCAAAAATGCTTCGGACACCATGTTATCACTACTCCTGTGATTGAGTATCACATTGCATACTTCGTTGTCAATGGTGCATCGATTTTCTAATTTATTGTCACCTTGATAGACTTTCATAGAATCCATGATATCTTGTGAGTATTCGAACTTAGCTAGGACTCAAGGGAACTTTTTAGCCACTTGTCATGTTTTTTGTTGTAGCAATCTGCAAATTCTTATCAACTGCATCTTCAAACGTATCCATCATTAGTTTCAAATTCTATACCAAGGTTGGTTTTGCAATCCTCTGATCATCGCTGATAAGAATATAAAATATGATATTTTCCCCTCTTAATTGTTGCATTCGTATGATTATTTGATGTCAAAATACACCCATTACTCTTATATTTTGATCTAGGTCGTAATTTGATGGAAAATGTGAAATTTGAAAGAAATGAGTAAAAAGGGCCAAAGTGGAAGAAAGTCAAAGTTCAGGGACCAAGTTGCAAATAATCCATAATGAGACGGGCGATGGAATGATGATTCAGGAAAGTTAGGAGTTAATAGGGTGTAATTTGAAGTCAAAAGAAGTGAAATATTACCATAACATCTTCACAAATCAATTCCTAATTGAAAAAGTTACGCACCGATTTTCAGCCTCATATTAAGACCTATTTTTGACATGGAAAATGATCGAATTGGAAGATGATTTCTGAAGCAAAGTTGTAGCCCTTCGTGTTAGCTTTTCAACGCAACTTGAATCACCTTAATCGGACATCGGGAGGAAAAGTTATGGCCAAAATACTAAAAGCTGTCCGGAGAAAAAAAAATTAAAAGCTATGCGATCGCATAGAAGGGTCCAGAGAACTTTTGGGAGCCACACATTTGTTCTATGCGACCGCATGGCTTATAACCATGCGGTCGCATAGTTATTCTTCGAGACCAAATTTGCCAAATTCCTAAATTGACGCCATCACTTATGGAAACACGTTTTGACACATTTCTTAAGCCCAAAAACACTCCAGAACGTGGGAGATTGAACCTGAACTCCATTTTTCTCTCATCTTTGGCCAGGAAACTCCATAGAAGGCTAAAAAAACTTTGGTGAAGCAAGGGATAAACTCGATTAATGCCGGTGATGTCAATGTCTCTTCACACATGTCATTTGATTTTTCATTGATAAACAATTCTAGGTTTATTATTTTCTATTTATTGAATATGTTTTGAAATTGGTTTATGTATTAGATTTTCATGGATTTAATAATGTTCTTTTCATCGAATAATTGAAGTATGTATTGAATTCCAATTTCAATCATCCCATTGCTGTGATTCGCTAATATAATATGCTTGATGTATGTAATTGATTTTGAATCTAATTCCAATGAATTAAAGTGAGAATGTCTTGTAGAAAATCTAAATTCTAGAGTTATAAGTGAAATTCAATTGATTCAGGTCTCAACTTCAAGCATTGTTGTGAGATTGGTTTAACTTTTACTATATTTCTTATAGATTCAATCATATTTTGTCTATTGTGAAATTAACTATTAGTTAAATTTCAATTTCATACAATTTTATTGGTGATTTGATTACTGCATTATACTTGAGGTATATTGTCATTTCTCAAAGTGATTTGAATGAGTGATTCACATTGATTAATCCAAACCAATCAAGGAAATTCCCGCGCTTCATTATTTCACACATTGATTCAAACTTCGTTACTTCAATCATTAATAATTACATTTCACTCAATTGATAGTTACATTTCATTCAAACTGATAAATTCCTTGCACAAAGCACGAAGAAAACCCTAAGCTTTTGATCCTTTAACCAATTTCCCATCTCCCTGTGGATACGACATCCCAAAGCTATATTACAACTACCGCGTTATACTTGGGGGTAATCAATCGTCAAGAGGATGCATACCACTACCACCATAAGTAGCCATAGCTAAGGACAAACTTTGCTCTATTAGCAATTTCCGTGTGGAACTGAAATTGAAATTCTTGAATCAAGAATAAAGTTAAAATACTAGAAACTATGTAGGGAATAATTTTACTGCAATGTTTAAATTGATTATTGAAAAGTGCACAAAGCCTTTGTACAGGCCACATTATTTCCAAATCTTACTGAAACTAAAATAAAATCCTAAAAGAAAATAAAACTGAAATCTTAATAAAAGAAAGGAAAAAAAAATCCTATTCTAATAAATAAAGATTAGAAATCCTATTCTAAAAAAGAAAGAAAAAGAAAAACTAATCCTATTTGGAATAGGATTATCCCACATCAGATATTTTTGCTCAAAAATGCAGCATGGAAGATGTGAATAAAATCAATTCCATTGAACCTGCTTTAGCATGTTGATAAGCAGTCTTCGAATTCTATATCAAACTCATTTCTTAGATAAAGGATACAAAAATGATAAAAGAATATGAAACCGAAAAAAAAATAGTTGGGGACATGCAATTTTTTGTAGCAACTTGTGCACTAGAAACTGTTGTACCCTTAGATAATCAGTTGACTAAATGTTGTTCTAGAATGCTCATAAAACATGCAATTGGAAAATAATGTATAATTGTTTAAATACAAAACACTGAGTGAACACTACAGGCTATTATCAAATTAGAACATGACCTAACTAGATCAAAATTCTATTAAGTATTTAAGTTTTATCCATTTGAAGGTGCTGAATGCCAGCTCATAGCAGAACAAATGTTTGAAATATTAAAGCAACCAAAAAATCAAACAGCGAAAGTAAGTTTTGTGAATGTCTCATACTCCTCGAAAGAGTAAAAGACTAAGTTACCTTGTCTGTGGCAGTAGTTCCATCATTAAGTTGCATGCTGGATACTTGGCTCTTTCCACCCATATCAGAATTTGTCTGCTAAAATGAGCAACAGAATGAAATTATGTTAAGTATGTAACAATATAATACATATAACATGCTGGCCAAATGTGAACGAAGCCCTTCAACTCTCTGGGAAAAGAATAAAAGTGAACCATTGAACAAAAATATACACATCATCCTTTGTACCTTTTCATTCTTTAATAGCTTACTTGTACCTCCACAATGTTCAAAAGTATCTAAGCTTGCCTGTACATCCCAAGGAGCAGTTGTGATCTCGTTCAAATTTTGATATTCAGGAAGAAAGGAGTTGCTCGAATCTAAATATTCATTCTCAAATCTCTCTGACTGGTTCCTGATTGCTCGAAGTTCCAAATCAGAAGAATCTCCTGAAAAAAGAGTAGCTCTCATGGTGCTGTAATTTACATCTTTGGAAGATGACCACAGCTCACCAGCATTACCAACAGCTGGATCTCCAAAAATTGGGTCACTGTTGCTGCAAAATCACTTGCATTGATATTGAGCCAGACAGATACAGTCAGGAAAGACTGACGTGTGAAATTAAACATCAAGGAGCTCAACATAAAAGGTTAAATTGAATTACAAGGAACAGTTTCCTTTACCAAGCCTAGTTTTCTTTTTAAATAATAGATTGTGAAAAAAGAATATAGGGTAGGAAATTGGCACATGGATTCAACGTGGCATTATAACAACTGAGAAGAACTTAATTTAGAATGCAGATCATGTGGAAATTTAATTTTTGGTCAAGTTTTGTTTTTTGGTCATACATACTCCATAAGGTAATCTGCAAAGATGCAATTCATAAACTTCCAATTTTTGGCTAGAAATTAATCCCGGCCACAATTAGTGAACTATGATATTGACCTGCTTGAAAATATTTTGATGGTATAAAAAATAAAAATTTATGAAGATAGAAAAAAATGGAAAACTGACTAGGAAGCAATTGACAACAAATATATATTTGGTCATCGAAGGATACTTTTAAATCCACTGAGCATATTTATTGCCTCCTTGAGTGTGTGCTTATTTATAATGCCTTAGGCCATTTTCATTAAATCAATCGCAGTAAGCTTGATCTTAGAATCATTAAGTGTGTTTTCTCAAGCATTCTCAAACCCAAAAGGGTTAAAAATGGTTTGGATCCACAAGTCCTGAAAATCTCTATTACTATGGTCATCACCTATCCCAAAGACAAACTAATGGAGGTCCTAATAGAATTTCAGTTCAAGATTTACCAGACTGGAGCTAGGATTTAGGTAATTTTCCATTTTGCTAATTTCAGAATTTGGTAGTGTAACACTCCGAAATTTTTTACATATTTTAAAAAATAGAGTGAATCAATTTTATTATATTATCTTTGAGTATTTATACAATAGAAACCCATTTACACCTTAGCCTTGTTAATCACAATAAAGTCCATAAGATTAATTGATCACTCGGTCAATTTATTTTATTTTGTTTCGGCTTAATATTTAAGAATTGTAGGAGAAAGAAAAGATATATCACTATTGGGCTTATTTTGTAGCTCTCATTGAATAACAAATGTCAGGGCACAAGAAAATGTATTCGTATAAGTTAAGCCCAAGTTATTTCATTTCAAAGGTATATATTTAACGGGTATTATTTTATTACTTAATAATATATCTTTTAAAATAATTAGAAAAACAAAATAATTTTAAAATATAAAATCCATGCTTATCTCTAATTTGAAAGATATTCAATTGTTATATTCCTTTCAACCACCCTAATGTATTCAACTTTCTCGTGCACGTGAATCCGTTTTGCAAGGTAATTTTAATATATATATTACACAGTATTGGTTATGTCAATCAGGATTAGCATATATATTGTCATAATTATTCAATCTAGTTATAGCTTGATGGTATGTTATAGGCAAATTTGTTTAGTCAATAGCTTTCTATATTTGATAGCAATTTAACTAGGACAGTAATTGTTGAAGAGCCTCTATTTAAACGGAGGACTATTATGCGTTGAATCCAAAAGTCATAAATCTTACAAGAGATACAGAAAAATGCTACATCACCACCAAAGGACTCATAAAAGATCTAAATTTAGTAGACCTACCTAACCATACACAAAACCATAAGTGGTGAAAATTAGTGTTCAAGACTATATCCAAATAAACACGTGTCCCCTTCTCTAATATCTTAAGCTTTTAAATGAGTTGGTTCATTATAATTTTAGAGCAATGATAGGTCTTGCATTCAAATCTTGCTGCCACTATTTGTAAAAGTTGTGCAGGCATCAAGCCTTTAATGAAAAAATAATTCAGTCTGCATGTGAGGAGATGTGTTGAAAATTATATACAAATAAATAAACGTGTCCCCTCTCTACCAGTAAAGTTTTTACAAGTTGGTTCAACAATAAGCATTTTGGTTTTCCTGGTAAATGCTAACCTCGTACAAACCACACAATGATGGACAAAGAGAGAAAGATAATCCTTTTTCTTTGGAATATGGGCTCATATCAGGTATTTGTAAAAAAATACATGCGTCTACTTTAATATATATATTTTATTTTTTTTTTTTTAGTGAAAGTGTGCTTGTTCTAAAATTCTTTGGCTGCATGAACTTTTAGCTGAGCTTAGTATTTCTCTGAACAATCTTACTCCTCTCCGTGTTGATAACATTAGTGTTATTTAGATTGCTACCAATACTGTCTTTCATGAGCGTACTAAGCATATTGAGGTGGAGTGTCACTCTATTAGAGAAACTTGAGACAACCTTGTTATTTCTCTTCCTCATATTTCCACTGACCCTCAGATAGTTAACGTATTACCAAGGCTACAACAGGATCATCAATTCCTTGTGGGAAAATTGATGCTTCCGATCTTTCAGCATCAATTTAAGTGGGGATGTTAATCAGAATTAGCATATATATTTGCCAGAATTATTCAATCTATTTATAGTTTGATTGTATATTTAAAAGCCTATAAGACCTTAAAACTATCATGCGTCTATTCTTAGGATACCTAACAAACAAAAAGGTTAAATACGATAACTGCTCGTCTTGAAAAGTTTTTAAGTTATGATGTTATTTTCTTTAACAACATATCTTTTGTTACCAAATTTTTCTTCAAATGGAAAGTCTTCTTAGGAAGATCATGTTTGGGACATACTTTGAATCATACTTTACCGAATATATATGGATTTCTACCTTCGATTTGCCTAAATAAGAAAAATTCAAATCTCTATGCCAATAATTGAAATTCAAACACATGTTGATGAGGAAACTCAACATAAACTAAGCTCTTAACTTTAACCCGAACACCCGCTCTTACTTTACTTGAATATTGAAGAAATGTATTAAGCAGGTAATATGGATAACTCTCTTGCACGGTTCTAAAGGGTGTGATATGTGACAAGGCCGTAAGGTTAAGCCTCATGCCGTACGAGCTTACGTGTAATAAGGCTTTTCTTGATTTTTAATGTTATTTTAATCATTAACTTCAAACATAAATTTAAACAAAATTTTTAAGTTTCAACTGAAAAGCAAGTCTCAAATAAATTATAAATACTACAGTCACTTAATGATTCTTAAATAGACAATTTAGATAGCACCATAGTCATAACTCTTATCAAACTCTTTATCGGGCTTCAATCCAATCTCCTCTTCTTTATCTAATTCATCTTCTTGTCATCCAATTCAAAATTATTTTCCCTAGGCTCCCTTATGCTACAAAATAATTTTTTTTTTAAATTATGTGTTGTGAATTGTGTGCTTCTACTTTCTAATTTTCTATTTATCAACTCTTTGTTTTATTTAATTAGTTTACTTAGCCTTTGAAAAATTAAAGAAAAATTAAATAAAGTGGACAACTAAAAAGAGAGAGAGAGAGAGTAAAATGTGTGTGCCTTTTGTCACCAAGGCCATACCTTTTCCCTCCTTTAGGCAGTCAACATAAAATTGAGCATTTTTTCACGCCTTCCCATTATATGAGATTTTTCCCCATGCCTTGGCCTACATTTTCCCTCCTTTTACAAAAGTTCTATCTTGAATTGGACTCCATTCCTACTTGTGATTAGCAAAGTAACCTTGATCTTCCTATTGCTCTTAGAAAAGGAACCTGAACTTCTACTCTTCACTCCTATGATAGATTACCACATTCCTATAAAGTTTCTATCCATAATCTAGCTAGTGAATAAATCTCAAAACCTGTAAAAGAAGATTTTAGAAGTCCAGAGTGGAAGGTTGCTTCTTAAGAGGAGATGAAAGCAACAGAAAGAAAATGGGACATGGACTTTGACGGAGTCCACAACAGGAAAAACAACAATTGGGTGTGTTAAGTATAGAGATGATAGGATGGTAGATACATTCAAGGTGATGGCTATTGAAAAACGATACATGCTAACATATAGTCTATAATGAGAAATTAGCCCAGCCAACATGAACACGTTAAAGTTCTTCCCCTACCGCAAATTTCAGATGGTTTCTTCATCAACTAGATGTAAAGAATGTCTTCTTAAATGAGGAGCTTAGGGAAGAAATTTATATGCAATTACCTCTTGGATTTCAAGTGAAGATAACTATTGAAGTTGGAATCACCTTGGGCCTCGTATGATCGATTTTCTAGACTAATTCAAGGTGATTCATACTCAACGACAAGCGAATCACATTGAGTTATTAAAGCATTCAGCTAAAGGAAAAGTTGTATCGTGCCTGTATATATTGATTGTATCATCTTAGCATGCGATGATAAATATACAGGAATATGGAGTTTTTGATTTTTGGATAGAAAGGAAAACTTGTTTATAGGTTTGACTGGTGGCTGCCATTGTGCATTGTCTGGTAATTCCAAGCATTCAGAAAATCACTGAAACTTCCGTCTTAGAATGGGGAAAAAACAGTGGCTGTGATGACGCAAATGAATATGAAGGTGAGAAAAAGGAACTAGCAGCAATGAAATTGAAAGCTACAAAAAACAATATTTTCCACAACCCTAATAAGTTCTGATATCGTATAAGAATCTGAGAAATTGAATTGTGAATTATATGTTATGAGTCGATAGGGTAAGCTACTTATATAAGTACCTCAGTTGCCTAAAATTGACTTTCGTGAACCTGGAAAATGAGAAAAGGCCATTATCCTATAAGGACGAAGCCTTAGACACAATCCTCAAATGTTGCTCACTGATGAACAAGGAAAATCAAATCCAAATTATTGAAACCAACTTCTGACAAATCCAAATAAGTTGAAATCTAAATCCACTGAAATTCAAAGTTACTATTGAATATGCTGATATTACATTTCTCACGGAAAGGTACACTAAAATGCTATAATAGAATTCCAGAACAAAAGACGAGGGGAAAAGCAATAGCGTAAGGCTGATAGAAATGGACGCTAATGAAGCATAAAGAGAAGAAGAAGATTTGGAATTACCTAAATATCCTATCCAGGTCATCAAAACTTCCAATATTTTCCCAGTCGTAGTCAACAAAATCACATTCTTCTTTGCCCACTTTCCGACTCTGAAAAATTTCAGATTCTTTGTCAAATTGAGCCATATCATCTGTCGAAAGATGTAAAAGATTAGGACACGAAAATTATCACTAGAAACAGAGAATTTTTAGCCTAAGAAAAAACTAATCACCTTTTGAAGAGCAACTCTGTGAAATTCCAGTCATTCTGTTGGAAATAGGAGGTCCCATAAAATCATGATCGGCTTTACCAGCATTCAATAATTGCGGGGCAAGTCCTATTGCAGGGTCACCAGTGTCATACTTCGAACTGCATTCGAGTTCATTCCCATATTCAGTCCTGATAATAGTGGGTTTCTTCTGTTCAACATGAGTAACATCCAAAATCTCCTGATTTAACTCCTTCTTAGTGTAATCTCCAAAAAAAATTGGAGGTTTCTCCTCGATTTGATCAGGATATGGAACGATGTGATCATCACTATCCCCTGCCTCGCCCCATATGATATTTAACTGACATATAACAGAACAAAAATAGTCAGAAATCTTTGACAAACTCTCACAAAATGAAAGAAAGGGGTACAAATTGTATCAAGACAACTGCGTTGAGAATAGTTGTGCAAATGAGATAAAATAAGACCAATAATACTGCAAAAGCTCAAAGAAGTAAATTTTGTTTCCGTTTCTGTTCTGGTACTTGAAGCATGATAATCTATGATTAGGAAATTATTTATGAAAATAGAAATAACTATCAGTGATAAGTGTATTTTATTCACTTATTCAAGGCTTAAAATGATGATATTTAGTTGCTTCTCGGATGAATTAAGGTCTAAATTATTGCATTTTGTGTTGAATAGGTAAAATTTAATGACCGTACAGAAAATTGAAGGAAGAAACAAAAGTGGACAAAATTGGAGAAAATGGCTAAATTGTAAGAGATTCAAAGTTCGGGGACTAAATTGCAAATATTCAAAAGTTGTTTCGAATCTCACGATGAAGATCTGAGAGAGTTAGGAGTCAATTAGATGAAGGAAGATGACAAAGGGATCAAATTTAGACAAAACATGATCGCAAATCAATTTTCAACCGAAAAGTTATACTCCGAAATTTCAGCCTTACATTGAGACCAATTTTTGGCATAGCAGACGATCTAATTGGAGAATGATGTCTGAAGTAAAGTTGTAACCCTTTGAGTTAGCTTTCTAACGCATCTTGACATCGAGAGAAAAAGTTATGATAAAAATACTGGAAAAAGTACCGTCGAAATTTTTCACCCAAAGCACCGCGGTGCCACCTGGGTGCATCTAGGGCGTGTTTTTTACCTGTTTTGAAATCCATAAAAACCCTACTTTCTACATACACGAGAGGACACCTATAAATACAAATTTATCACATTTTTGGAAGAGATTCACATATTGAGAGGCAAGAGACACACTTGGAAATTAAAGAGAAGAATTCAAAAGAACAAAACAACAAGCAATTCAAGGGTTGAAGCATAAATTGGAAGTGGAAGAAGATCTTGGTGCAAAATTAATTTCTTATTCTACATTCTTATTCAAAATCCGGTGATGTCTTCCATAATAACTTCTTGTTTTTCTTTCAATACTATGAGTAGTTAATCTAATTTTAGGACGAACAATGTAACTGATTTGGAAATATTTATTTCTTTTATTTGAAATTCTTGTTCGTTATAATTACATGTGTGGATTTTAATCATATTTTTAATCCTTTGAATTTTTAGGCCAATTATTCAATGATTTCGTGAACAATAATTGTGTAGAGATGCGAATTCTTGTTTAGACTACATACTAAAATCCGGTAAATTAATATAACGTGTAGAGATACTTATATTAATTGTTGTGGTCAAAAATGAATTCTTAGAACTATTAGTGCGTTTAATCAAGTTTGATTCGCAAGAGATATGGAATTGAAGTAGTTAAATAGGCTCAATAAGAATTCGAGTGGGATAAATTGAATACAATAGAAGAATTCGACCGAACACTACTTTAGATTTTATGAATCTCAATATTAGAAGTAAAGGTGATCAATAGGTGAAATTGTTCCGCCCTAATATCTATTCATTATTTGAATTTTTGCTCATTTTCTATTGCATTCATGAAACTTTTAGTAGTTAAATTTAAAAATCACATTCAATCATTTTTTTTTTTCATCAAATAGAAGTTAGGAATAATAAAATGAGTAATAAAGTATACTCCTCGAGGGAACGATAATTCGGACTCAAAAGGCCCACTTTATTACTTGTTACGATCCGTCCACTTATGGGATAAAATCGACAACAATCAGCAACATGGAACTCGATCTGCACAGGTCATGACAATTATGAAAGGAATTGGTTGGGTCCACCTCACTGATTACCATCTACTTTGATGACTTGAAAAAAAATAATAATAAATAAATAATAAAAAATAAAAAGGTACAAAAATTTGGTTAGGCAGTGTCCATAGCAGCACAAGAAGCAAAGCTCCAAATGTCAACTCATCTGAATGTGTAAAATCCATGGGCACATTTACGATTATTGTACTTCGATTATTCAACAAGAATCCATCAAAAAAATATCACCTGCACAGGAGTAGACTGTCATGCTTTTCTATAGCTTGAAATGTGTTTCAAGAATATAACAATGGTCATTCCTTCTACTGTTATTTTTAGACAAAAAGGAGACGTGTCCATTCGATCTATTTTCTCCTCTTCAATGGTTCTACTGACAATTTGACATGCACATCTAGTATCTCTAATAGCTGCAATATCCTACAACTTACCAGTGGAGAGGGCTCTCTTGCTGTTAACAAGTTAATTCCTTTAGGTATTTGTCATTAGTTCTCTATGTTACTTTCTTAAATCTATACTCAAGTTTTAGTAACCTAGGCAAGATACTGACCTATATCACCCTCATTGAAGACAAGAAAATAGAAGAGAATTTTGCTAAAGGAATTGTATCATTTTCGGAAAATGCTTATCCTCTTCACGCTCGCTCACATCTCTGGAACATGTTCTAGTCTACCACATCGGAGATGAAGAGAAATTTGAGCATGACTCATGCTAATATGGAAATATCATCACGATCAACATGCTTCTTAAGTTAATGAACATCTAAGTAGTTAATGGAGATGTTTGAGCTGGAAATGATGTAAAATTAAAATTGAGGTTTCAATGCTCTTTTCTCTTCATTAGATGGTTGTTTTCTGTCTCAAACTTAATTTTATGCACTGTTTTGAATATTTGGATATGATAAAAGTTAACCAGTTATTCTTAACCCGATAGAAATTAATAGCTAATCTTGTATTCTTCTTAAATTTTCTTGATTTTCACCCTGCTGTAAAATGGTGTAGCTCTTGAAGATTGAATTGCACACTAATTCCTATGAAGGTTAACAAACAACTTTTGAGTGAAATAGTTCTTTCTCTAGCTTGTCAACTAAATAGACCATGTAATTTTCAATTCTTGATCGTAAGTCATCTTGTGCTAAATTTTTCTGACTCGTTGCTATATTGGCAACCTTTACCACTTCATAGGTTTTCCCATATAAGTTTCATTTTTTAAATTATCTATATGGTTGGACAAATCATCAATCTACTGTGGGAGTCTCTAGCTACTATCTGCATTGTAGAAGGTTTCATTTTTACTGCCTAGTTACAAAGAGATTCTATATCATTCTAAATCCACACCATAACTTTTTGTAAGTCTTCATGTCTACCAAGCAAATTTTATTATCATCTCATCCTTGCTTAAACGTCAATTCGTGAAAAGGGAGCACAACTTGTATACTTAGGTCAGCAAAATAAGAAAGGAACCAGGTAGCATTGTCATGACTCTAGCCCCACACCACTTGCTCCATCTCACATCGTACTTATAGCAACCTTCTTTTTGCTCCTTTTAACAGGTTCTACACAATACATGTACAACTCAATCCCGATTCTCATATATCACCCTATTTAATTCAATCCCAAAAAAACTTTTGACACTAAGTAGCTATTTGCCTGATGAAAGGATATCCGTTCCTTGCATCAGTAATATAACATGGATGCTTGCCCATCTCTTCATGGTAGGCTAGTTGTTTTGGTGTTGGTGGATACATCATACAAATATTGTGATGGAGCACCAAGATTATTTATTGTGTGACTCGTAGGAGGCAGTGGTTTATACACTGTAAAATGGTTTCTCTTGGTTCAATTAATTTATCTCATATCTTGGCATTTCTTTCATCATCTTTGTCCTTAGCTTGTAATGCAAAACTAAGCATAATAACTATGGAATTATAGAGTAGACGGGATTGATGCAGAAAAAACAGAGGAATGATGAATTTGTATAACTCTTTTTGTACAAATAACCATTAAAAGGAAAATTAACTCCTTGAATAATAGATAAAAAGAATTTCACGTTGGTGTTTACGTGATTAATAGAGTTGCTCCATGGTGTTTTCCAAAACTTGCTATTAAAAATGAATGATTGCTCCATGGGCCCCTTTCTAATCATAAAAGAACTCAGAACTAATGCACATCATATAAATCACCACCAAATATAATTATGAGTCATGTTTTCAACATAGCCGATTTAAATCCTTATCGAGGCACTTTTAAGCCTTCAGCATTATCTACATCTATTTTCGCAGGTAAAAAATTATTCCAATGCCACGAGCTCCTTCTGTGATGCCTATACAGAAAGATGTCATTGTTGAGGTTATTAATGATCAGATTATTGCATCTAAGGATGGTGGCCACCGTTGACTTTTGAAAGAATGGAGAGATCGACTGCCACTGAGATACATGGATCACTGAAGAAGAGTTCCGATGTCTCAATTTAAAATTACAAGACTCCTATGAGGGGCATAGTTTATTGGAGTCACGTTTCAACTAACGGAAAAATGATGGTAAACAAATAGAAGTCTACTTAAGGCAAAAGGCTAGATGATCGAATCTAAATTTCAGTAGTTTTATCTATTAGGAGTTTTTTATCATTAGGAGTGTCATTTATCAAGTGATATTTTTTACAAGTTCTCTTAGAACACAAACCCCCTTCAGGGACTTAGGTTTTCATTTTCAAACAACTTGATTAATATTGAATTGAATTACAGAATTTTCCTCCTCATTTCTTCTTCTCGTTCCCAATTTGTTACATTCTAAATGTCATTAAAAGAAATTAAATGAAAGGTACAATTAAATGAATAGCAAGATTTCACCTTTAACCGAATCTTTCACGTAATGCTATATAAACTAGGACTTTAGCACCACTGGTACTCAATAGCATTTTTCTTAAAAGAATATATAAAAAGTTGAGGCTTGTTGGATACATGTCCTTGAGTGTTAGGATTCAACACAACATGGACATGTCGCCCTAACAAGAGTGACCATGCATCATAGGAAGAGCTTAATTAGGAAAACCGTGTCAGTAATTACTCCTAAGGTCTATAGGTTGAACTAACACTAGTTAAATATAAAGGAATACACTACCATAATATAATGCAAACATCTTGATATTACAAACATGATTGAAATTAAAGTGGTTGAGAAAACTAAACTTTCTTTTAGGAAATTCATGACTTTTTTTGAAAACTACGCTTTCGAGTGTTTCAATAACATCAACTGACAAAAAATTTGCCTTGGTCACCAAGAAATAGGTCATTGCTGATAGCGAAAGGACGAAAGTGTGAAAATAAGCAACCCAAAATCCAATGCCAGAAAATTAAGTCAATCTCTACTGTGGACATGAAAAATGAGACAAGAAAAAATATAATCTCATCACTTGATAGAACAACTTGAGAAAAAAGTCCTAACAAATTGGACAAAATGCTTTTGAGTAGATTGATTTGACTGAAACTACAACAAAAATATCATTATCTGCTACATCAAGAGGATCAGAATCTCTTGGCAAAAAACAATGTTATGGTAAAAGTTAAATTGATTTGCAACATGTTTGATGGAACCAAGGCATTTAATAAATATTCACCTACATAATTAAGAAACACCCAATGTCTAAAAAGGTTCAATCAAGAGCTAAAACATTTTATCTTCGTGAGGATAGGCACAAATCTCGAGCGCTCAAGAAATAAAAGATTCAGAAGAATTTAAACATAAAAATATGCGCATAATTAACTATAAACCATCTTCAATATCCATAATGAAACCAATTAATAAGATTAATAGTCTAACTAGCAAACAACGCAGATAGCATAAAGATGGTGTTTCTCATTACACCAATTTTTTCATGACCATGGAACAAAATACAGAATCACATATAATTAGATTTCTTTAAGCTAAAGCTTTATAGACATGACAAGCAGCAGAGTGCATAAATATTTCTTTGGATTTCCATTCTATGTTGGTCACACTAACTAATGAAAGTTATACATGAACCATCCTATAACTATATTTGTGACTTGATATTTACTTTTTACTTCTTAGATAATGCAAATACTATTCTAAAAGAATAAATTTAACAAATCTTGTCGTTTATTGCATATACTGAACATAATCTAAAAAAGAACAAGAACAATGGATCATTTCCTAAACAAATAAATAATAAATAGCAGAGCAAAATACAGTGAGGAATCTTCCTTCACCTTGTTGCTTCAATAAATGATAATATTCCAACACCCAACTTTTAAATCCCACGAATTTTTCTTTGCAAAAAACAAGTAAAAACTTTTGATGATGAAAAAAAAAATGAAATGCAATAAAATAAAATAAAAAATTGAGCTCAAGAAATTAGTTCCTTCATCTTTAAATGATTTAATATTTTTTAATAACGGTGATTTTAGCATGATCTAGCCAAAAGAAAGATTATAAAACAATAAAATAAAATCCCTCCAACAAAACATATACTCAAGATTATCCTTGTTTTTTCTTTCAATTTCTCGCACAACTAAGAAAATTAGGTGAAATTACAAAGACTCGAGTACCTCTTCGTCGTTCCAATCAAACATAGCTAGAAAAACAAGCAAAAGTAGTCCCTACTCCAAATCCACAGCGAGACTTTACAACGGACTGCTGCAAATGTAAGCCAAACATTGCCAGCTTCTTCACTCAAATTTTCTCGGAAATTCCACCGTTAAACCATAAAATTAAGAGCATTAGTCAAGGTGATTACAGAAATACCAAGAATAAAACGATAAAAAA